TTCACGGTAGCAATAGTTGCTTAATCAGTTCTTTGGTGCAATGAGTGTCCAATGCTGCCAGAAGCATGTTGCAGTAGACCCTTCTCCTCAACTACGATTTGGCCAAATAGACGATTAATATGTTTTCGTACTTGCCACTCAACCTGGGACGTTAATTGAAAATTCTCTTTCAGAGGGATGTGTATACCTCTGTATGACACTTCTTTGATTCATGTTTTGTTATTAAATTCTTAACAAGTAAATTTCAGCTACATTATGGTGTAAGACACTCATGAATTTCTATATTTCTTATTTTGATTCATAACTGTATTTTGCATAGCATTGTCAAAAATTTTTTGTCAATAGTTATTGTGCCAGATTGAGTAAAAATGTTTGCTGTGGCATACAGAGATGTTTTCTAAGCGAAACAGTGAATTTCGAATAGTTTTGAATTGTGTATAATTTTAAATACGTCTTTTTCTTCTACTATTTCGAAAAATAATGCCTCAAATAGCCTGATAAAGCAATTTTAGGAAATAATAGCTATAAAACTATGCCGCCTGATGTCAGGCGAATCTAAAATATGATAATCCATCTATTGGAAAACTATTGTTGGCTTGTAAATTTATTCCACTAATTGGTTATATCATTATTTCTGCCTCATAAGGATTTTTAGTTATCTCGTAATTTGGCTTTTTTTTAAGAACATAGGGAAAAGAGATTTCACCCTGCAAAGCTAATTAAAATTCCATGCAAATCTATTATCTTGTTTTTGTTATTTTGATTCGGGTATACTGGATCTTTGTGCGCTGTCCTTAAAAAACGTGGACGTTTTTTGCTGTGGGGGTCTTGTGGTTTAAATTTTGTCAATTTTGGTCTTCGAGTACATACTTTTTAAAACGGAGTATGGGGCTAGAGATATTTGCATCAAGCTAAATTGGGTTAAACATTCGAGTCTATCCTCATTCGTGGGTATTGTCAGCGTATTTCTGCAGACCATCGGGTTGTGCAATTTTGTTAGTATTAACAGTTTTTTTCTTTCAAATGTTGGTTTGAGATTAGCTTTTGCCAGCTTTATTGTATGAATGGTGGTGCACATCAAATTTTTACGCGTTTATCAACCTGAAGAGTTTGATCGATTATTCGGTTAATCATATCTGGGTTTTTTACCATTGTTTAACAGGTGAATCTATCTTGTCACAAACAATACGCTGTTGTGCATACTTTCGTTAGCTAGTTTCTCGGGTGTATTCCTATTACAATCAGATTTTTGTGCCTTGGAAGTACGTAGAAAACTTTAATTAGCCAAAATATTGTCTTCGTGCTTGATTAATGAAGCGGAGAACCCTTTGCTTTAATCAACCTTAGCTTTTTTATACCTGTGGCAGTCTAATTATGTCGTGTCACCCACGCATTCTCTTCAAATGAGTCGTGATTCTCCTCTGATTCTTATCTGCATATTTACTTTGTTGATATCCAGTACCTTCTAAATTCCTTTTTTTTGAAACCCTTCCTCTACACTGATTTCTTCAAAATGGCTAGTATGTTATGTGTTTGTAGCTCTTTTAAGTTTAGTTGAGCTGAACTCTTTGCTTTTGCACTGGTCTAAATTCATGACAAAAATGGCTAGTCTACCTCCCAACGTCCACGATTTTTTCATCTTGCGCCTATTGGGGGCTATTGCAATAACTTTGGAACTCGCTCCGACATTTATGTGAAGAAAAAGTATAGAAAGTGACTGTGGACTAGAGAAACTGACCTCTGTGCAGTTTCATTCATGTAACTCCTGTCTTTCCGGTACTAAATTACAGAAGATTAGTATATGCCTCCATTCTTCAACGATTTGTCAAAGGAACTGTGATTCTTATATTAATTACATCGCATTATGCAATGCCCTTTTAACGTTTGCAAACAAGTAGTTTATTCGCCTCGTGTAGAGGTACCAAGGTTGGATGCTACGTCATTCCGCTTGGGTTCTCATGATGTTTGCGAATGTCGCATTGGTGTTACCTCCTTTTTACAAACCAGCTTCACATGTGCCTGTTTATCTTTCTTCAGTACCCCCCTTTTTTGCAATGTTTCTCCTGCAATGACCGCAAGGCGAATCTCAAATTTAATGAACCGAAACCATCAAGACTTTGACGACGTACTAGGTTCATTATCGTTTTCTTTGACAGCTGAAGATGATGTTGGCGGTCTTGACGAAGCTCTAGAAAAATTTGCGCACAAAAAAGCCATGTCATTGAGGAGCCGTCGCCGTGGACCGGTGAGTTTATTTGCACAATTACTTTTACTGGTCAAACATTTAAACCTATCACTTACAGCTTTCCCCATATAATCCCTGTCTTAAACTTTTTTATGTCGGTAAAGCATTGTTAAAGGTTAACGCGGAATTCACAGCCATTCTGATGTTTTATTGGTAACCTAAACAAAAGTTGCCTTTTACAATTGGTAGTTGTCGAACTATGTTTAACTGAATGCCTTTTATCTAGGGTGTTTGAGCCCCTTTTAAACTAATCCAAATGTTTTACTCGTACGTCTATACTACAGATCCAGGGTATTCCTGATGATGATCTCGAACCTGTTCGATTTGAGGTGGCTGAAGATATAGCAGCCTTGAGCGAAAAATTCATCAGCGGTCCTGAAGTGAATAACATCAGTACTCAACCTCACTCTCTACCACCGCAAACTTCTGAGATGTCAATTTATTGGCGACCAAAACCACGTTACCGACTCAAAAGTGAACCTTCGTAAGCATATCCATGTAAAGTAATCATACTCAACTTACGACTTCAGCGAATAACACACGACTAATTAATAGGGCTCAACCTTATTGGAACTGTATGTGCTGCCCTTGTCGATGCATCAATTTTTAATATGGCTGTTGTGCATCCTCAGAGGTATGACTTCCGCAAGCCCTTCCGGAAAAGTTAAGCCTGCATTATCATTCAATTTAATTGAGTATAGTGATAATTAGAAAACTAGAAATAATTTGAAATGTGGATTTGCTCACATGACACCAAATGAAATATTTATACATTACCGTTTTGGGTTTTGTTCTAATGGTCACACAACGCTATACTTTGACATTCTTTAACTACCGCCTAGTATACAAATTTTTATTATGGATTGTTTTTCCTTTAAAGCAGAAGCGTCTGTGCCTCACAGACTGACAGGTATTTTTATATCTCATGGACATGGTTGTGAGTACTGTTCTGGCAAAGTACTTTTGCTGAGGATTTTGACTATCTTAACAAGTCTGTTTCGGTCAAGCTAGTTTGAACCGAACGTGCCGCCAACTTGACTTTTATTTTTATGCGAAGTTTGGCCTTGGGTTTAACGTCGTACATTGCACATCTAACCAGCTGAAATTCCAGATTATTTATCACTTTTGTACGTTTACATGAAGGGGTCAACTTGGAAATAGTTTGAAAATGGTAATTTTTTAGGGATTACTTCGTACTGCATTTGTAATGTTTATACCTAGTCATTATGTTTGTGTTGCCACGGTCGGTTGACCTATATCTTTGTAGACTAGTGGTAGGTTATTACGGAAATTATGTTAGCCTAAGTACTTTTCACTGTCGACACTTGATCTCACACGTTTGGATTGTGCATTAGTGTTTTATATAATGTAAAATCCAGGCCTCATGGAGCATCACAACTGCAGTTGACAAGAGAACCTTAAGTCAAAGTTGGTTCCTCAGTTTTTATTTAGATGAGAATCTTTAGGATGATGTTCCCTTGCTATAATCGTTGGTTACTAGTTTATTAATAGCTGGCTGGATTTTAAAAATGGCGTCTGTATTTTGATGGACTAAAATACCTCATAAGCATCGCTTTTTGCTTTACCGCAATCCACTTACGTTTTCCCTTGACCAGTATTTAGTTCTTACAAGATGATCTGAAAGCAACCTGGCGGTGAGAAGCCTCGGCTCACTTAATTTCTTGGCTGCCTTTTAGATCTCTAAGCAACGGCATCGATCAACAAGGGGGTCATAACATAAACCGGTTGCCTGACTCCAAAGACCGCAGGTTTCGGTTTTGGGTCGGAAGTAAACGGCGCCGAACATCCTCGTTGCCAACGAGCTCAGATTATCGCCAGCAGCGGTCACCCGTTTATCTTTCTCCCTCGGATATTTTCTCCTACCTTCAACGGCCTTTTCGTCGATCACGGAACATGATTGATTCCACCGCCGTATCCCTCCCCGATGTCCGGGGGGAAAGGGGCAGCATGCTCTTTAAATGCTGGGTGCCAAGCCATTTGGTTGGTTTTCTCGGTGTTTTCACGCATTCCTTCTTCCCGATTTGTAGTTGGGTGGACACTTCACTTTTTATCAAATAATTCTGTTCTATGGTTGAGTTTATTTTAATGTGAAGCGTTTGTATCCTTAAATTTCGCACAAAGACGTGCCAAGATCCGAGCTAAAAAAAACTAAAATTAGTTTATTCCAAAACACACAATCCAGAAGAGCACTAATGTCGATGGTCGTTATTTATGCCAGTGTTTGTTATTGCCGTAGTACGATGTAGGTCGAATTTCATGCAGACATTTTTGCTCCCTCTTGCACATCAACATGGCTTCTGTTCGGGTTTACCGATCCCCAGTATGACACATTGTTGGTACAGTTGGTGTCATCTGCTGGGGTTAGTTCGCATTCGAATTAACTTCTCAGTATAAAGTGCTACGCAGTATCACGTACTGCTTAATATCCTATGACAATATGTAAGGCCTAACGTTTGTGTGACATCACCGGAATTTTTTCCACTATGGGTCTTGAAGGTATTCAAAAGCCAACCATCAACCGTATTTTGCCATGACCACTTGTTTTTTAGTTAAAACAGCGATTAACGCAATAAACCAGACATGCGTGTTTTTATTTAAATTCGTTGGTTTCTGTTGCAGGGGTTTTAATCGACGTAGTAAATCGACAAAAGTGCATACAAAACGCACTTTTGTCACGAAAACCGACTACCTTGTACCCCAATTTTCCCATGCAAGGCTTAATCAGACATTGTAAACATTTGATTTCTGTACTTTACGGCCCCTTGCCTTCCACAAATTCACCAATTTCGAGGAGTAGGCTCTCGACACTGAAGACCCATATATACCAAGTGTTTTTTTCTCACTCTTTGTCAAAAATGTGCTCAATGGAAACTCTGTGCTCTCTAAAAACCACATTTTTATTAGACGTGGCAAAATTCCGCATGTTTGTTTAGTTTTTCTGTCAGTCGATTTTAAAATTTAACATACATTATTACCTATTTTAATAAGTAGAAATCCTAGTCAATTCCTCGTAGAGAGTGCTTCGCGTGAACCGAGAAATTCACGTGCGGTTTGAAAGCTTAACTGCCGCGGTAGTTAACCATCGGTGTAAACTTTTTTCCTCAAGAAGCTGCTTGTGTTTGTTCAGGACTAAATTGTGTTTGGAAGGCGTTTCTTTAATCAACCTGGCTAATGTTTTATAATCTACGTCTATATGAAGATTTTTCATTCGTGGTGTCTTACAACATTTGCAGACACATTGACTCCTCCCCATGAGTCATTTTGGCATTTGCGAAATTTGACATAAATCGATGCTGGCAAGCGAGGTTCGACAATTAAATCGTGCGTTGTGCTATTCGATGAGGCTTGACTTTAGTTTATGCTGAGCCGAGTACAAAACACACAAAAATGCTTAATAGTTCATAGCTGTTTATAGTTCATATAAGTTAACAACCCAGTGATCATTGGCTCGTGACAATAATACACAACTACTGGTAAAGCACAATTGTGTTTTCAGAAGTCCACTTTCAAGTGCTCTTATCACGTTCAGCTCTTCTAGCAAAATTTTGAGTTTGACGATGGTCCCCGACCATTATGATGTCTCTATGATCGAAGTCGTTATGTTCCTTGGGTATGATTTTGATTTACTACCCTGGCAATTCTTGCAATGCGTATTATTGTTGGTTCAATTTTTGACTGCCTCACTGCCTTAAACAACATGCACATAAATCGTTTTAATCTGATTTTATTTCGACAGCCAATTAATTACTGCACGCTAGGTTCGATTGCCCCAAATATCCTTCACAATGCAGTATCATTAATTGTTTCAGGATGTTTTGATTGTTAAGCATTATTTTAGGCTTATTCTGAAGGCCTAAGCGACATTGATCGTATTAAGAAGAAAGAACTGCAAGAATCACGAAGATCGCAAAGCAATGCCTCGGAAAATGAATTTGCTGTCGCCATTGACGACGTAATGGTCAAGGAAAGGCCTCCAAGTGAAGTTGCCACGACTAACCAGTCAGTGTTATTCAACAGACTCACTGACCAGTCGACTTCAGTGTTAGAGAAATCCAGTGGTGTTAACATTCCACCGCCCCCGACGCCGCCTTTGACCGCCTCGGTAAGCGAAATAGGCGGTCCTGAGTCTCGTTTGCCTCAATGTCCGGAACCGGTGCGCAAAAAGAAGTCAAAGCAAAAGCTGTCTTTTATGAGGTGACTCTCTTACTTTAGGATTGACGGTACTATTAGGCTTTCTTTTGTAAACAGCACTCTTCCTTAAATCCGTGTGTACACTAGGAATACTTCCAGATTTAAGCTTCGCTAGAATACGTCTCTGGTGTCCCTACCTTGAAACCGATGCTACTAAGCCTATGCTTAACCTTAACCTTCTACCACACTTTAGTATCCCAAGGAAGCGTTATCAGCCTGGTTTGCTCGCCCTTAGGTTTTTATATTACTTTCCCAATTTTTCATTCGAGTTTATTATCAATTTTGCATTAATATTTTCATTGAAAATAAGCAGTTGTATTAATGGCTTTTCTATGGGGAGGCTTTTGTCTCTGGTTTGTGGATCCATCTGCTCACACTTTACTTAAACATGAACTATCGTCTTACACTCACCTGTTCCCTCCACACCTTGACTTTCATTCGTTTTTCGGGTTCGTGAATGCCACTCTATCAGAACGCACACTCTATAGGTGCCGGTAGGCACGTGTTTGCGCGGAAAATCGACGGAATACAGCCTTTGCAGGAAGAGCTCATTAAGACTGAGTCACTAAAAGGATGTTGTTGGGAGAATATACTTTTCGTTGCGTGGTAATTGCTGTCCATTAACTCCTGACTTTGAAACAGCGGAATGCATGATTCATCCAAAATAAACGTCAACTCAGTTGATGTGACAATTCCGCTTAATCCTACGTGCCCTGCTGTATGCAACCTTCAGCATTTGATTTGCAGCATGAAGTTTATAAATAAACGTTGGATTTGCCTAACTGCATGTTAAATAAACACACCAGTTAGCGGTTGTGTACGCTCAACTTCCCTTTACTCCCAGGTTATGGGGCCTCGGCTCTTTCCTGGCGGTTCTCTTGTCTGTTTGCTGGGCTCTTTCTGTCTCACCATTCCTCTGGGGCGCTATGGTGGGCGGTTTTGCTACCTACTGCACCATCCGTATCTACCAAGTGGTGGTCACCTTTCTCTACTCAACCTCATCCTCCGACTCCAGTTGCTGCTTTACCTCAGTCAACCCCGAAGCGATGTGCTGTAGTCTGCACAACGCCATATTGTCGTCCTGGCGACCACCCTATGCCGGACCCCTCGTGCTCCCCCAACTTCGAGATCTTCAGGCCCCACCGGTCCCCCACCTTGCTGACGAGGACATTCGCTCGGGTCCCTCTAGTGGACCCCTGGGTGAAAGCCTTGGCTACAAACTGGACAAATTCAGTCGGCCAGTTTACAAGGCTTGGATGAACGAGGTTATTTAATTTTGGTCTCAGATATACCCCTTATCTTGTGCATTGCCTAATTAGTTTTGGTTTTAATGGTTACTTTGGTACTCCGGTTAGTTGTTTTACTCTGAAAAAAAAGTGAACTATTTTTGTTTACTCACTTAAGTTCATCTCGGGATTCGGGGACTAGTGCCTTCATTTCACAAATAAAGGGTTGGAAGTGATGAAGTTGACATATATTTTTACGAACTAGTGAGATTACGATGTTTGCACATGGAATCTCCGTAGAACTCGGGACACTTTTCGTGGCGTTATTAATTGTTATTATGATTTTAAAGAAAGAGTCGGTCACAATATTTAATCCCTTGTTGAATAAATCCATTAAATCTGCAATAAACCAGTGGTCAATATTCCAAGTCTGCACTTTTTCTAGATTATCTTCTACTCCCCCGAGACGTATCACATCAACAACACCCACTCCGTCTACGTAACCCTGGAGGGCACCCAACTGCGTATCCAACGTCCACGAAAGAATGTGTCGCGACGCGCGATGTTCAACTTACCCGTTCCACCTACCTGCGGTGTGCACTTTGTGCACCAACGTATCTTCGACATGCGGAAGGTCAACGTCTCACTTCTCCCCCACGGACTCGTGGAGAAACGTCTGTGGAGCAAGAAATATCCCATTTGCCTCACCGTCCAAAGCGAAAGGGTGCGTGTGTGTGTGTTCATTTAAATGGGGTCTTGTACACATGGTATCAGTTTTTTGGGACTTTCGACACAAATTTCCGTTCCTTTGCTACTAATTTCCACTTACACCTCCTCGAGTGACTCTAGAAAGAGGGTTGTAACCCTGTGATTGCTTGAGTCAAGCCCTGTGAAATTGATCTGGTGGTTTCATTCATCTAATCAGTTGTCACAGTTTACCGGTACACGAACGCAAAATCGCGAGCGTAAATAAAATCGTTTAAGGCTTCCCGCACTAGCACCCAGCCAAAATACGTATTCGTCCGCGCCTTCCACGCTAATGCAAGACAGAATTCCGTGCAGAGAGCTTTTACTGTCTCTGGCGCAGGCTGTGTGATCTGTCAGAATTTGCCCACTTATAAATGGCGTGGTCGGTCTTGAGTGTCAGAGTAAAAGTACACTCAATTTGAAAAGGTCACCGGAGAGGTGAAGGCCGATAAGAGTGCAAGGTTTGGTGTGCGTAAACATGAATGGTAATGATAAATAGAAAATTGTCCAAAGCTTAAAAATATTGTCCTGTGGATGCTGATTCCTCTACACCAAATCGCATGTGCTCGGATGAAATGTGTTGGCACAACTATGTAAAACTTTATGCGCAAATCAAAGTATCGAGTTAGGTAGAGCTTTTTGAACTAGGTGTTCGTTTTGCTTCGTAATTTTGTGATTCTCATATTTCAATTATGGTTTCCTTGGTAATTCAGACTTTTTTGTCCAAATCCATGTGGAAATATAGATATCACTACTCATTTATTTAATATAGACAGCAGAAGTAGTTTTTCATAGTTGTTTAGGCCAAATCTCATCGATTCGGTTGTAAAAGAAACGCTCTCCACTTTTTTCAGTATTACGTGTTCAGAGGTTTTATCAGCTTTCAATATTTGTACGATTCCACATGACCTTATTGGCAATATTTCCCACCCTAATGAATTCATTATGTATCTGCACAATGACTCATAGGCACTGAACTTAGCCATTCATTAAATTTTCTAGTCCCACTTGACGCTTTGATTTTCCTTGACACGAAGCATCTTGGGGACATATGGACACGTATTTACAAGCTTCTTTGTCCTCCCATGTAAAAACATGCCTTTAATGCCATCTGTAGATGTTCATCATTTATCACATCCTGTCTAGCCGAAACTCCAAGCCAAATTATTTATTCCAGGAGCGTTTTTTATTCCAATAAGTATGTTGAGTTTTCTAAGTCCGAAAACCTTTAGTATTCGTCCCCGTCATGTTGTTGATGATAATGATGATGATGATGGCGATTTTTGCTGCGTGTGTGAAGTCACTTCGAGCTCGAGTGTTTGGGTGTTTGTGTTTGGCTCCCCGTGCCACCCACCCCATCTGTCACATTCCCTATTATGCTATTGGGTGGCTACGTTTGTGATGTCAATTTTTATTTTCACAATCAGTTGATCTCTTGATTTCTAGAAGGTGTCAAGAGTAAAATCTGAAGAGTTTAGTGGTGCTAGTGGAATTCCTGACAGCACACAATTCAGAGAGCGTCAGCCACCACAGCCAAACCCCCAAACTCCGTCCAATCTTTCATCGTCTACTGTTGTTGACAATGGCATTTCTCCCAAGGTGTCGCAGAGTGATATTCATCGCTCGGTTAGCTTTACTGATCCAAGCGACGGAGCGGCGATGGAGTCGCGCTACACCATTTCTACAAGTCGCTTCCTTCGTGTTGCAACAACTGGTACAACAGAGAATCAGTCAGTTGAAGCAGCAGCCTCGTCAACTCCCCTCGCGCCATCATCACCCCCAACCGACTTCCTCCTCGTCAGACACTCTGATGTGGACGAAAAGATCTATCTTTTCGCTAGGACTTGTCGAGAAAAGGAAGCGTGGTTCAGACGTCTGAGGTACGCGTCGCTTGGGAGGCCCATGTTAACCACCGCACAACAGGTCAGTATTTAGCCAGAAGTTAAGTACAAGTAAGTACTGATTAATGGAAATCTCGTGTGGTCCCCAACCATAGTTGAAGTCTTTGTGAGTGTTGGTTTTACATTGCGCCTTCGTTTGTCCTGGCTTACGTTGGATTTTATGGGGCTGTTTCGACAACTGTGTGTCAGGGTTGGCCTATTTAGTGATGGTTCAAAGGAGGCCACTGATTCAAGCAAAAGTCATTTGCGCTCACCTTGTAACACAGTGCGATACCTTAAGCTTTTGTATAGTTTTCAGATGTGCATAAATGGAAAATCTGCAAATCAGTGAGTGTTTTTTGTTTACAAGAGTTACTTCAAGAAAATTAACTGGTACCGAACACTAATTGCATGGTTATTTAGATACATATTTTGCAGTCTTCACACCCCCAAGTGTCTACGTACGTCGCATAAACAAACGACAGTTGCAATATTTTACAGGGTGGTCTAAATGCACATATTTCGTTCTTGGATAATGCTTTCATAGCTTCAGCTGGTTCTCTACCATTCTTGGTATGGGTTTTAAATTGCATCGTTTAAAACAAAAGTTAACTTTAATACTGCAGCCCATTTTCAGCATAGACTAAGGCAGTTGCGCGCGCACACATTATTTGTTCCTTAATTTTGTAGGCTTTTAGATGTCTCTTGTCACCGGACCCAACTCTAAAAATGTCGAATTCAGGTGCCTTCCCCACTATTACTTCCGTCCATTCGCTGTCGTCCAACCCTGAATGCGATTCCACCGCTGACAACTCAACTGCCACCACTACAGCTTCTATAACCACCGAGGATTCGGGCAACCAACGGCCTCAGCCACTGTCTGACGAGGCGCTCCAAATTTCATATCTTCGTCATATGGCGAAATTTATGCCCGCTTCGTGGCTTCTACGAGCCACCCAGGCACTCCAGCTCAACCTCAATTACGTGAGCTGTGACAGTCAGGTGCCGTGGCTCAACGCGCTTATTGGGAGGCTGTTTTGGGATTTTTTGCGACACGAGTACTGGGCAAAGCGAGTGCAAGAAAAGATACAAGGGAAACTCAAGAAATTACATGTGAGTTGTTTCGGTTACTTTTCACTTCCATCGACTACATTTAATACCTCTCATCTCTGTTGGATATTTGTCGAAATTGGGGAGCATTTCGTTGCAACGAATTCCTGGTGTTTTGTATGCAATTATGGTTGTATCGAATCAGCATGGAGAGTGGTGATGTTTGCGTGCTTTTGAATCGCGTGATGCCAACACTACCTCTATCGATCTTATACCGGTTAACCCAGTCGTAATTGGGGCGATTGTTAACACGAAACGTTAAATATCTTGAAACATTCAATTTTATGTGGAAACCCTAACTTATTGTTTTGCTCCATTATTCGTATAAATGTAGGAAATACTAATTCATATTTCACCCTTTCATGCAAGTGGGTAAATATACACGGACTTGATCAGTGATGTCACTTTGCCCTATGTCAAGCGTTGTTCGGGCTTGGTGTTCCAAACTTCTTAGCCGAGAGTTCTTCCTACGACCTGTTGCATTCGAAGTAAATGCCTAACACTAGCTTCATAATCATTTCGATCGACGTCACGTTCATTTGCCCATTTTTATCTCACCCCAGTTGCCCTACTTCGTGAATGAATTGACCGTAACGAACATTGAAATGGGCTCTGAGCTGCCAGTGGTAAGGAATGCGGGGAAGCCCTTTCTGGACAACCACGGACTTTGGATTGAGGCAGAAATAGTTTATGCCGGTGGGTTCACAGTATCCCTGGAGACCAATGTAAGCAATCCTCTGCAATTCTAATGGTTCATTTTAGCATGCAAACAATTCTTTTATGGGGATAGATTAAGTTAATTCCCAATCGTAATTGAACCAATTCCGTTAAACGATTTAATGACTTAAAAGACCCGTTTGACTAAATTGTAAACTAGTAAATCAGTTGTAATCTATTTCTAGATTAACTTGATGAAATTGCGTGACAAGGCCGCACGTCCACTTGGACACAGCACTTCCCCAAGTTAGTGAAAATTAATGTTGCATATATTTTTGCCTCAAACCGCATTCTATCGTGTTTCTAATAGAGCTTCCTTTGTGCATTTATCTTCTCATAACAAAAAGCTTTTGTGCACAATGATTGAGCAGCCTTTAATGCGAGGGTTCGTCGATGGATATGTTATACGGGCTTGTACACTGCTCACACCCACACCGCGTAAACTCACCGTTCGGTGACCGTCTAGTCTGCATGATTTTCTTCCCGAAATCTGCCTACCTGATATTTAAAAAAGATAATTTATGTTTAGATTCTTAAATCAAAAACAGGTAAAACATATTATTTGGTTAATTGGCGATGCTCCAGATTAGTCTAAATGCTGCCTTGTTTTTTTTCGTTTGCCGTGTTTAAGCTCCTGTATTGGATTCACAAAATGGCCCCGGTTTTGGCAGTCTTGACAAAAACAGATCGCTAGGCGTCCCAAACACTAGCGAAGATGCCGCCTTACGCACAATGGCAGCGTTCATGTCCGATGAGGAGGACAGTGCGGATTCCTCGACGGACAGCGATAGGGAAAGTGCCTTGACCAATGCGCTCGCCAGCATTTTGCCCGCAGCCACCCAAGCACCCTCGGTGCAGTCCACGCACGAGGGATCACCGATCGATGGGTCTCGACCCTTTTCCCCCTCATCGCACGACGAAAAGAGCGAACTGTGAGTTGCTCAGATTATATTTGATGCATTTGCTTTTTAATAAAAAAAGAAACCATCGAAGCACTTTTATTTCCTAGTCTACGACCTAAGCGGCGGCTTTACCGGCTTGTGGATAGAATAACGCGGTCGAGTTACTTCCAGAAAGCTGTTGACAGCAAGTTTGTCCAACGCGGAATGGAATATGTTTCAAATAAAGCTATTAATCTTCAATTAGAGGTAAGTGCTTTCAGCATTTCGTTACTCTCACTCTAGCCTTTGTTTGCGCTGAGTTAATCCCTCAAATCAGTGGAATCTGTTGAATAGGCAGTATTTATCATGGTCATATTCTCATTTAATTGGCATTCGCGACACTACGCTGCATGCTTCGGGCAGATCCTTTCGATTAAGTATGCAGGATCGTTTCCATCATCCTAGAATCTAAAGTCGAGTTGTTAACATTAGCAGTGTCCGGTACAAACCACAGCGTCATTAGTTACCTCACAGGTTTACTTAGGTCGAATAAGAAAAGATATTTTTGTACTTTTTGACTGTCGCTTTGCCGCCTAGTTCATTTATTCTTACATGTAGGTGAGTATGCTCCATGGAACTCTGGTCCTGAATGTGCCCCCTCCTCCAAGCGATCGTCTGTGGTATGGTTTTCGAGGAAACCCCAATCTTCGCTTTAAATTGAAGCCGAAATTCGGTGAAACCTTGGTTACCATTCCTCGTTTCCTCGAAATCCTTGAGAAAAAACTAATTTTGGAGTTCCAGGCAAGTACTTTCTCTCCATTTAACCCCAATGTTTATCGCCCTTAAAGCCACGAATGTTCATTGGCCTCGAATATTTCTGTGTGGTTAACTCAAAGAGGCTACTTATGCTGCTGATAGTCGGGACATTCCTCAGCTTGTGGTTCTATCTTTGGTGCTCAGTGTAAGGTCCCTAAAACATTTGGCAGGATTTAGAAGTGAGAATATAATCAGATGTAACTTCAGTTTCAATTTGATCGCCATATTTAAATGACTGCCCGTGTTTTTTAAAGAGGCGCCACAA